GTGTGAGTGTGAGAGAGAGTGTGTGTCTTGTGTGAGTGTGTGAGAAAGAGGGTGTGTGTGTGTGAGAGGATGTGTGCGCGCGCACGTGAGTGTGTGTGTGAGAGAGAGTGTGTGTGTGTGTGTGTGTGAAAGAGATAGGGTGTTTGTGTGTGTGTGTGTGTGAGAGAGAGTGTGTGTGTATCTGTGTGAGAGTGTGTGTATCTGTGTGAGAGAGTGTGTGTATCTGTGTGAGAGAGTGTGTGTATCTGTGTGAGAGAGTGAGTGTGTGTGTGTGTGTGTGAAAGAGATGGAGTGTTTGTGTGTGTGTGCGAGACTGTGTGTATGTCTGTGTGAGAGTATGTGTGTGTGTGAAAGAGAGAGTGTGTCTGTGTGTGAGAGAGAGAGAGAGAGAGTGTGTGTGTGAGTGTGTCTGTGTGTGTGTGAGAGGGTGAGAGAGAGAGAGTGTGTGTGTGAGTGTGTGTCTGTGAGAGAGCGTGTGTGTGTATGTCAGAGAGTGTGTGTGTATGTGAGAGAGACAGTGTGTGTGTGAGGGAGAGAGTGTGTGAGTATGTTAGAGAGTGTGTGTGTGTGAAAGTGTGTGACAGAGAGAGCGTGTGTGTGTGTGTGAGAGAGTGTGTGTGCGCGTGTGTGAGAGTGTGTGCGTCTGTGTGAGAGTGAGAGCGTGTGTGTGAGTGTGAGAGTGTGTGTGTGTCTGTGAGAGAGCGTGTGTGTGTGAGAGGGAGTGTGTGTGTGTGTGTGTGTGAGAGACAGTGTGTGTGTGAGAGAGAGTGTGTCTTGTGTGAGAGAGAGGGTGTGTGTGTGTGAGAGGATGTGTGCGCGCGCGCGTGAGTGTGTGTATGTGTGAGAGTGTGTGTGTGTCTGTGTGTGTGTGAGAGTGAGAGGGAGAGAGTGTGTGTGTGAGTGTGTCTGTGTGTGTGTGAGAGTGAGAGGGAGAGAGTGTGTGTGTGAGTGTGTCTGTGTGTGTGAGAGAGGGTGAGAGAGAGAGTGTGTGTGTGTGAGAGAGAGTGTGTGTGAGTGTGAGAGTGTGTGCGTGTGAGTGTGAGAGAGAAAGAGAATGTGTGTGTGTGTGAGAAAGAGTATATGTGTGTGTGTGAGT